GGCTTGCCACCCGCGCTCGCAAAATGAAGCGCTGTGTGCAGTTAGGCGTTTGTGAAAAATATGACTCTGGTTTTAGCGGGCTTTCAGCATTTTTATTTGGCGGCCACAGTCTGCCTCCGTTGTTCTCTTGAGCCCGTACTTTCGCGGAATTTCATCTCAGTTTTCTACCACGTAGACAGAAACGGAGGATGGAAAAGAGTTGGCGGCAGTTTTCGAGTGCAAGACGCAAGTCTCAACGCAAAAAATAATGTAACATTATACAACGATGTTCAATAAACAATATGAAAGAAAATGTACATTTCGAACGATTATTGGAAGGCGTGATAATATATGGAGAGAAACATGTAAAACTACACTCATTTTTTCGAAGATTCGTTTAGCAAGCTTCCCATTTTTTAAAATCTCAAAAATTTTAAGGGAAGAAACAATTTTTTTATATTTTCTGAATTTACGTTTTTAATATGATACCCTTTAGACTCTAATGTATATAATGACCTCGTGTTTACATTGGAATCTCCATTGCCTAATAATTTTATCTGTATGACTGTACGTACAATGTGTGGATTGTGAAATCATAGAAAACGTCTGCCTTGAAACTATATCATTGCCATTATTATCGTGAATATTCAAAATAAGCATATGCGAAAGAAAGTAATTGAAAAGCATGCCAATACGTTACTTCATTGACGCAGCGTTTTGTTTCGCATTCTGTTAAAGTATTGTAATAAACAATTTCAGTCGTTTAAATGACAGTTAAAAAATGACTTCCTTCGCAATACTATACTAACTGAGAAAACCATTTTATTATTGCCCCTCCACTTTAGACATGCAATTGATTGCACGACAAGCTACGTAATACAATATGTATATCGCTTGTATATCGCTTGTATTTCATTCACTACTCTCGTTGTTAAAGATAAGTTGGTAGCACGCCAACTGTGCTGGGCTTTGTCGGACGCATCGTGCAGTGGTTTGGCCGACTTTCTCCCGCCTCGGGGAGTGACGATTCCGGATGCGTGGCCTATCTAATCGATTCCGTAATCTTGTTCATACAGATTACGTGATCACCATATGAACTCCGTATCTTCGGATATTGAGAGATCTTGAAAATGGAACGGCCCGGTCGCTTTACACGTGTAGTACAAATTACACGATTCTCTGACAGTGGGCAAATGTTCCGTGACCGTTTGGCACCTCATTAAAACCTAATTAATAACTTTTGAGTATAATAAACGACTTTATCAACGTTATTAAATATAGCTAAATGTTGTCATGTGCTTCCTCTCCTTTCGTTTGCTGAACAGATGATCATGCTTCATGTGCGTGATTGAGCTGATCTGTTTTCGCCATTGTTTTTAGATTGTACTATTATATTGCTATATTGTACAATTAACGAAGGGGGAGAAATTTCATATCCGCTGTAAGTTTAGCTTGCAGGTTTGAACCATTTTGATTGTGCAGGTATTTTATCTTTCACAAAGAGTGTGCAGCGGTCAATACACAACGTACTGTTAAGAGCTCTGAACATCAACCATCGGTTCTCGTGAGGGTAATACTGGATGACTGTACATCGCTACCGCAGTGTTTCTCGTTGTGCGACCAATACTTGGGTAGAAGTGGCGCAGGCCTGACGACTGACCTGAGGCAAGGCGAGGCCTACACGTAGGTGCCTAGTCTTAGGCTAAGATAGTTTCCCGAAGCATATGCACACACAACATATTCTGTAGCTACTACTAATGAGGGCAGCAGGTGTTAATTTGTGTGAAGTTGCGTCGAACTTCACAATTTGCTTGTACCAGCATAAAAACGGAACTGATTGTACTCAATTTCAACGTTGATTTGAATTTCAGAATTATTAGTTCAATGAATAAAATGTACCATATTTGGTAAAAATCACTCGTTCCTACCGTGTGTGATGGGTGAAATATATCTGGGCCCCAGCCTACTAGGAATCACTATTCTAGGTGATCCATAGTCGACAATGATATACGGGTAATAATAGTAATAATAATAATGATAATGATAATAATGATAATGATAATGGTAATAATGGTAGTAGTAATTTTATCACGGGATTTCACAAGTGTACGAGTGCTGAAGATTAAAGTTCACGAGAAGTTCGGGATTTTATAATTCCGTTTTTCGGTCTTACCATAAAACAGTGGTGTTCAAATAAGAATATACGTATACGCGCACTTGCCATACCGTTCTACTCAGATTGATTCAGCACACCACACCGCGTCATCTTGAACATAAATGATAAATCAATAACAAAATGGAAGGTTGCCTACCCGGATATGACGAGGCTTGAGTAGGTTTGAAGCGGGAGCAGCGTTCGAATCCAGTCTTGGATATGTTTCGTGCTCGTTTCACTAAAAATGTGGGTTCTAGGACCGACAGTTCTAGTTAGAAAACATGGCAGTGACATGAAACCCATTTCTTCCCTTTATAGATGATTATGATGACGTCCTAAAAGTTGACACTGCCACAGACGCGGTCCAAAGACAAGGAAACTAAACAAAAGAACGGAGATTTTTGTGACAGTCGTTACTAGTGGACTCCCCCTCCTTCCCACTCCACACCCCTCGGTGGTGGAATGCTAGGGAAGGGCGAACCTGCTCAGGAACCCGACCAGCTGGGAAGGGGGGAAGCCGACACGACAAAGCCTGGGGCGGGGCTGCGTACGGGCAGGGGCAGGGGCAGGGCAGGGGTAGGGGCAGGTACAAGCTCAGCCACAAGGGCTGGCAACCCCCCCCCCCTAGAATTTCTTGAACAGTTATATTTGTATTCATATTCTTTCAAGACCTTAGATTTTCTCAATGATACGAGCCCTGCTAAGGTAAACACAAAATAAATGCTATTCAGTACATACGAGATGCAGTATAGACGTATGACGCAACAATATTTCGCCGTTTGAAATGTCGCGCATTTTAGTGTAAATTCCGTGTTCACGATTACTTCTAGATATGCGCTGCAGGGGCGCTTGAAGCGTACTTCGCGAGGTCTTAGCGTTCCGTGCCGGCGGGGAAGCCGCTGGTCAGTCGGTCGCGAATGACGCGCTCGGGGTGCATCGTGGCTGGGCGGCCGCGCGGCGCGCCGCTCTCCACGTCGGTCGTGTGCATTTTGCCTCGCGGAGGGGCGGCAGGTGAGAGTTTGTGGTGTTTCCTGTGCGCGTGTGTGGTTGTATGAAGCTGGTGTTGGGTCGGGACGCTCGTAGACGTGTGATGAGGGCAGCGGTGGTCAAAACAGATTTGCAACAAGCCGCCGGGCGGCGAAGTCTGCCCTGAAATCTCTAATTTTTTTCTTCTTTTCAAATTGGCCAAACTTGAGCAAAAATTTGCAGCGCTGTGTTGATTAGTATCCGATTACATCGTTATTTTAAACTTATTCTTAGAAGTGTATATTATCAATTATCAACCTGTAAATTATGACGATAATCTCTTGCAATAACGGTATTCCAGTTCAAAGTGTCGTATTTGAGAAAAATGTATGTGCGGATGCGGTGTTTGCGTACTCTATTCCCCTCATCCCCGCGTGATCTTCACGCATTCTTAGTATTTCAGTGGAAACTGTAAAATAAGATGCACGACTGTTTGGCCAGTGCTGTAGACCTCTCTTAATTTCGACGTCTTCTAATGAAGGCGGACCCCCACATTCGTTATTCGTTCAGTATCGAGCAACCGCTTGCTGAATCCCATGTTGTGTGGATGAGTTGCATGCGATTTGCCGAGTCACGAACATTCGGTGCTCGCCCTACTCACCATGTGTCGGTCTTTTGGGACACATCAAAGAACGGCCCCATCTCCATCAGGTTTTTGTCCACTTCGCCTGATCTATTGAGCAAAAGCTGAGATGGCACCTTGTTATGCTTCTGAACGTAAATGTAGCTTCACTAAGCGCACGTTTTGTTGAATTCTCCTTTTGCTTGTAATGGAATGGAGGTGAAGGAGCATGGCGTGAAAGCGAGTAGAGGTAAGGGCGAGTTACTATTTTGTTAGCAATGCAGAAAAACTGAAATTCGTTTTCCGGTACAAATACGTTTTCTATAACTCGGGAACGAAAATGTCCATTTTTTTCAAATATTGTTAATCTTTCGCTTTAAAAAAAAATTTTTTAAACGTTTACTCATCTATTTATAGTTGAAATGATGGGAAGGGATTCTAGAACACAAGTTAACACGCGCAAATGATCTTCTCCTCCATACGTCACATACTGTTTATTTTAAACTAAATAAATCTAAAATAAATAAAGCGAACAATCGGCAAACACATCAGCTGTTCAGAAAGGGGGAAAGTAGCTCGCTGTCCGGCGATTGCCGAATGTGTGCAGCATTAATTAAACTGCAGCATTAATTAAACACAGTAATTAAACTGCGGCGCCTGCTCAGTTGTTTAGAATAGTGCCTGCTTTCTTACTAGTTTAAATTTGGTTTATTATTACATGGAAGCGAACATTTCGGGTTTTCGTACTAACGACGTTCGCGCATTCTGCTTCTCCCACGTAAGTTTCATAGTATTTTTTATCGTTTTTGCGATGATAAATAGATAATTAATAAATGGTCGTTCCATCGTCTCATTCCATCTCGTCTCGTACCAACTTGTTTCGTAACATCTCGCCTTGTCGTGTCTAGTGTAGTCTTGTCTAGACCTATCTTGTGTAGATTCGTCTGGTCGTGTCTAGTGTAGTCTTGTCTAGACCTATCTTGTGTAGATTCGTCTGGTCTTGTCTAGCCTAGCCTAGTGTACACTAGATAAGTCTCGTGCCATTGAAATCTGCTCTCGGCGACGCTGGCACTTAAAGAAAAATGTTTCCAGGTCGCTCCCGGCGACGCGTTAGCGCACAGGGTCATTTCTGGGCTCTCGTCCTTTTTTAACCCACGCAGCGCGGCGGGGATTGTGGGCCGAGGGATTACGAGGTGGCTGCCACCCTGCCCTTCTCTCTCTCTCTCTCTCTCTCTCTCTCTCTCTCTCTCTCTCTCTCTCTCTCTCTCTCCCCCCCCCCCTCACAACCTTCTCACGGCCGTCCGACGCACGCGCGACTCCCGAGCTCCGACGGTCGCTTCTCATTTACCTCTCTCTTCAGTCGGTTCCGCTCCCAACGCCGCGGATAGGCTGCACGGCTGGCAGCAAGGGCGAGCACGAGGCGAGCACCGGGTTGTGCCAACATTGGAGTATTAAAATGAGCACGGGGTTGACATTTTTGTATGAAAAGACAGATTGCCGCTTGTAAGTGGCTATTTTCTCGCATGTCTATAGGCTTCGGTAGTAGGATGATTAATACTTAACTATACGTTAATTAGTGGTACTAGTTATTGGTTTTGTAGTACGATAGTTCTTCCCATTTGTATTAGAAAGCAATTTTTTAAAATTGTAATTCACATCGGTAGCTTTTTTTAGCCATTAATTACTCGATAGCCCAAATATTCCGTAGAGAGCAGGTACTGGTCCCAGGGCACAACCCCGTACATGTACGTTCTTCCGTGTTTTCACGAAGTTCTGTGACAGAAGACTTGTACAGATCACAGCATTGTGACTACGGTTTTGGACTTGAAATCGCGCCCGACTTCGACCACCCGGGTCCGTTGGGGAGGGAGGGGGGCTTCCGCCGGGGGCGGGGCGACGTGGGGGCGAAGGCGGGTGAACATCGTTTCCGGTGCGCGCAGGAAGTGCACCCACCCGTCACGGCACCGTGGATCCGTTCGTTTGGACTTAATTCGTTCCCCTACTAGAGTCCGCATTCACGTTCGCCCCTACTTTTCTCTTCTCTCTCTACCGGCACCGTTGCCTCTGATTTCGCCTATTTTTTCCCCCTCGCGTTTTCGTCATTTCAGATTCTGTTGGTTGTATGTATCGTCATCTGATGGAAACAGTTTTAAGGAAAGAAGAACGCTAGGGTAAATGTGTGTTAAAATTATAATGGTTAATAATTGTAGCTTTTTGGGTTGTATCGCGCTAGGTTGACAATCGCATAGTGATCTGGCGGCATTGTTCACGTCATTTTTCTACATTTGTTTGTTTCTAACTAAATGTTTTCTCTAATAGAAAATAAATGTAACCGATAAACCAGCGTCTTTTCTTCGATTGTTGTCTTGTGCTTGTATGAGAGACTTAAATCCTTGGTGATAGTATTAAAAAAAAAACATTTGAACCATTAAAAAGAAGGTACGGAATGATTCTTTCTCAAATTTGGCTCCCCTCTATAGCCCCAACCCCTTTAGGGTCGAAGGTCTATTTCAGTTAGTCGTACATAGTTTGTTAGACAAGGGGGGCAGAGGAGAGAAGCAGGAAGAAGAAGAAGAAGAAGAAGAAGAGGAGGAGGAGGAAAGTGAAAGAAATCGCACCGCCGACGCCCACGAGCAGAGCAGCCGGGAGGCGTGGATCACTCTGCACGAACGGCGAGGGTGGCAACGAAAATCAATCGATAGAGGCAGCGGCGGCACCAAGCAAGGTTTCTTGCACCCGTTCGCGCAGAATCGAGACCTCCAGGGTCACGATTCGCTACAGCTAGACTGCCGCTGCCGCTACCACTATAGCTGCCCTCGCCGCTACCGTCGCCCCCCCCCCTCGCCTATGCTTGCCTTATCTCCCTCTTTTTCACTAACACGTGTTCACTGTTCGACGCCGCACGTCGCGAGTGTAATGCATACCCAGGCTTGTTTTCTATAATTGTTATTTTAAGTAATGCATACTGTCTGTAGGAAAACTTAACGGTATAACTTCAGGAATGGATTATTTCATACACAGAAAGAACGTCGATCACTATACGGGCCCGGTATGTGCTTAATTACTGTTATTAGATTTACCACTTCGAGCGCTCTGTTTATCACATCAAATGTAGAAAATGATCACCCTTGCCTGTATGTAGGCCTCTGCTCCTCTTGACATTGAGTGCAAAGTGTCTGCCACAATGCGTGTATTGATAAATCGAATACTTCAAGGAGTTGTGAAGCAAGGTAAAAGTTCAGATGCATAAAATTCAGAAACATCGAGGTATTTCGTAAATGAAAAAAGAAAGGAGGAAAATGGAAAAAGAGAAAAGAAAAAAGGAGGAAAATAAAAAACAAAAGAAAAAGGAGGAAAATGAAAAAAAGAAGAAAGAAAAAACAGTCGCAGTATACCAGATCCATAATACTGTAACAAGGGAACTTGTTACAGTATCATGGATCTGGTATACTGCTACTGTTTTCCATGTACGCTGTCTATTCAGATTGGGGGAAAACCATTTGCGAACTAAGAGGTAGGCAGGTCAACAAATTTTCTTCAGTGCATGATTAAGTAATGATAGTAAGAAGAGTTTTACAATTTAGTCCAGCGATGAAGACATCCGCTAACAACAATTACAGTTCGTATCGTTCACATTTTTTTTAAATCTGGTAGTTGTATAATCAAGTGTTTCCGCATTGTAATGGTCGTTCACTCTTCTCCGTATTAAGATTCCATTGGTGAATTTTACCAAAATGTTTCAGTATACTCGTTATTCTGTGAAGACGAGGATTTAAGCGCTCGTACCTAAAACAAATTGATACCGTAGGATAAATGGAAAAAAAAATACCCCTCCCATTTTTAGAAGCGTAAGTATTTTACTCTATTAGAGCAAAAAATACTTTTGGAGTTATTTTTGAGCAAAATTTGAAAATGTCGGAGGTTTCAACTTAAGCACTTCCCAAAATGACTAGTTGGTTTGAAATTCACAGGGCGGCGAGATCAGATCGCTTGGAGGACAAATTAAAAATAATTTTTAAAAAGTCGGTATTAGTGACCCCCCCTTAAAAACTTGTATTTCCGTGAAAACCACGACTTCATTTTAGCATTCCAATACTTTTCAGCATTATAATGTACTATATTTGAAAAAGTAAATTGCAGTGAATGGGTCTTTCATTGAGAACTCCTGCTACATGTTATCCATTTTACGCTGGGCCCAAGGAACGTCCGCCCTCGACTGCATTCTGGAGCAACGTTGAAAGGGGCCAGAGAGATCCTCTTCGTTAATTTCATTGTAACCTCACTCTAGGTAATGGCCGGGCGGTGAGCGCTCGTGGGGTAAACCGCTTTCTCCGTAGTCTGTCAAGTGTTCGTTCACGATCGCGCTTAGACCCTCTGCCACGCACACTAGAGGGCTGAATTACAGTACTGAGGAAACACGAGCGTGTATATGAGGAATGAAATGGTGCTCCGTCGATGAGGGCCAAATGGGTTGCAATGGACTCGAACGCTTAAGTGCGTAAAGTTATTCATTGTTTATTTTATAAAACTTTTTCTACATGAAATTGAAATAAAAAACGTGCACGGTCTTTAATAGAAGGTTAAGGACTTACAAACAGTTGGGTTTTTTCTCTCCCATAATTCACTCTTCGATTAAAAAGTAAAATTTGAATGCGAAATGAATTTGGTTATTTTACGAATTTTTCATTTATTGCGCATTCCCTTATATTTATTTGGTGTTTCGTACTGTTGATGTCACGTACTTTAATGCTTTTTTAGCATTTGCAGTTTTAGTCCAAAATATACCAAAATTTACAGTGTTTGCTTAATTTGAACGGTTTGGTTGTTGGCACAATCTTGTTGATACGCGAGAAATAGGTCTGCCCGCAAGAGCCGTGGCATTTGACGCTATGCTAGAGCGTAAGCGTGACATTTAGCATGAATGTAGGAGTTGGAGGATCGTTGACGGTGTCAAATGAATGTTTACAAAATGGTCGTTAATCTGAGGTAAATGGCACTTTGGAGATCCCTAGACGTTCAGCTGCTGTTATTTAATCGTGGAAACTGTGGAGCTGCATTACTAGCGATTAACTATAACCGCACCGAACGAGCGAAGCGCTTTGTACTATATTACATTGATACTGTGAAAGTGAGACCGTGGGGTTACTATCACCATTTATGCACTTTAAAACCAGCTCCGTGAACTGTAATTTTAGATTGTTCAGCAAATATATCGACTCCAATTGTATGCTACAAACTAGGACATATATCAAAAATCCTTCATTACTAACAATTTTATTGTTGATAATTTCTATATTTTGTACCACTCTTCGTCGTGTTCAACAGTTAGGCTTAGGCAGAGCGGCGTTGTTGTTCTTTACTGCCGTTGCCACGTGCGCGCTGAGACTTTCATGGGCTATTTAAAGCGAATTTCAGCCCTATACTTATATTTTTAAATCCAAGGCCTATACTGTCTGAACACTTCTATTGTGTTATTTTGACTTTGGGCGTCATAAATACGTGGCAGAAACGCTCAATGGATAAATCGCTCTATTCTTGTCATTTATTCATTCCGAGTTGGTGGCAACTAGGAAAGATTGTCACTAGTAAAACAGCTACTCTTGCGTATCACTAGGAAACCACTGTCCACGTCATCACGTGATCCAAACGTCAAGCCTAAAGAAGTTTGGTGCACCGTGTATGTGTGTATATATACGCGTATGCATACGTAGATTGAGATTTTAGTCAAAAAACGGTAAAAATTGTATGTGACATAAGGTGGAGAAGATTTATCTGTACTCGCGCGCGCACAGTAACTCATACTCACGCTCCCATTCCCATGAGCGCACATACTCATACACTACGGAAGTTATTGGTGACAGAATGTCTAAGAATTGAATTTAAAAATATACCAAAGCATTTAAAACTTGATTTCTTTTATACAATTTAAATTTTTGCTTTAGTTTCATTTCATTCGTAGAAATCGACAGCAATAAACCTGCCTTAAGTTCATTACTCGTACTATTACTATTAATAACCATATTATTAACTGCTAGTATTAATAGTAGACAACTTCGTACGGCTGAATACTGAATAAAAGACATGAAATACCTTTTCCATTCCACTCGAACAAAATCCCTAATCCGGCATTCAGTGTGACGAACTAACAGAAGGAGCGCGATAAATCCTCGCCTCCGCTCCTGTTCACTTCCGTTGCTATGTTTACGTGGCTGATCGGTGCGGCACAGGGCGGGCGTGGGCGGAGGGAAGAGGGGCGTTGGGCGCGGCCCGCGAAAGGCGGCGCGTGGCGTGCGAGGGAGGAGGCGCGAGCGACGCTGCACGCGAGATGCGCCGGCAGCACGAAGCCCGCCAGTCGAAATTGCAATGGTGGTGCGCAGCAACGCCGCCGCCCCCGTTCGGTTTCTTGCTTACCATTCCGAATGGTTTTCCTGCACTCTTCTCCTCACCGGGGAGGTGACCAGAATCAGAAGCGATCCATAATATTGGGGGGGGGTAGATATTGTGAGTAGTGAAATAAGAAATAAATTTGCAATAACAAAAGAAAAATAATATATTCAAGATTATTTGTACAAGTTACAATGAATTGCTAATATTAAAATACTCCGGCAACCTTTTCCTTTCTTGAACACTGCTTTTTGCAGAAAACACAAGCCACGCGTGATGCGCGCTATCGGACCTCGGTCCGTGACAATTACCGTCACATGGCCCTGACGCCAAAATTTAACCCGGGTCGTGGCGATCGTGTCTCCTACAGCACGTGAGATTGTCTGGCCTTACTCTCCGGAATCTCGCCCACATTCTACACCCCTTGTACACACGTACAACTTCCCGATGCAAACTGAATAGAACGCGGGCGCAGATTTGGCGCCGACGCTTAAATAGTTGAGCTGACACGCCACCACTGTTCCATAGGATTAGACTCGCAGGCCAGCCCTTGGTTTTACGCCCCACACAGAATCTCAGGTTGGCTGCCTGCTTCGTAAACGGAGGCTCGCCCGGCAAGCATCCTCGGAGTTTACAGGCCTCGGATTTTTGGGCTCTGCGGCACTACCGATTCAAACCGCCCCGAGCCGCAACACCCGGATGTTGCAGGCTCAACCCTTCCTCCCCCGCAGCGTACTTTCACCAACCTAACGGTTCTGGCCCTCGTGTTAACGACGCCACAATATGCCACCTTACTTGCAACGCGCCTGACACTTCGGGTCACGCTACTGTCGCTCATCCGTGATGGCAGATGATCGGGTGTGTAGCCTTATGCCAGAGAGAATAGGTAAACGATGTTGGACTGATCCGGAAAGTTTTCATAGATATGGATGTAGTTTTCAGAAGAAGAAAGTTATCGCACAAATGCATTCCATGTTTCCGTTTTCTGCACATGCTGATTGTCATTTCGACATTCTCTTCGTCTCCTTGTTCTGCGCTATGTTGGAATGTATACTGCGTGAGGCGATTATCCTGATAGCTAACAATATTTTAGATTTCCAGGAATCTCAAGCGTCATTCTTATCAACCTTTTCCCGTTTTAATTGTAATCCTTATTGCATTCGACGAAGGAGACGTGACAGCTCTGACAATCTGAATTGGAGAGAAGCCGTGTTTTTCATAATACGAATAAAGAATAAAATTAGTTGCTAAATCTCCTAAAAGGGGGTAAAACTATTAGATCATTAATTTAGAATGAATAGTGATATTCACTAATCACGGGAGTTTCCAAATATAAACACT